TAGTGCAGCTGAAGCAACATCTCAGGCCATTTGGCTTAGGTTTGTGCTCAAGGACTTTGGAGAAGAACAAGCTGCAGCAACAACGCTATTATGTGACAACACTTCAGCTATAGCTATGTCTAAGAATCCTATGTTTCATCAAAGAACCAAGCATATTGGCAGGAAGTTTCACTTTATTCGGGATGCAATTCAAGAAGGTACCATTGATCTGATTTACTGCAATAGTGAAGAACAAATTGCAGACATCTTTACCAAGGCTCTTCCCAAAGACAGATTCAACAACTTGAGAAGTTTACTGGGTGTGAAATCAGTTAACAATTTAGAAGGGAGTGTTGAAAAGTAAATTGCTTACTAATTTCATGTTAGTAAATGATTTACTTATCTATTTTATCTTTGTTCTATTGTGTAGCTGTTTTATGTTGTGATAACTTGTGCTCATATGCCAAGTGTGTGATTTTAGATCAGGTCTCTTTTCAATGGCTCATATGCTTTGTTCTGCCATGTGTCAAAATCACATTGGCTCATGTAATTGAACGGATATGATATCTGATGTAAAAGAAAGGAATGTAGATGAATGAAATGTTGCTCTCGGCAATGTAATAGAGTTGCAGTTGAAGAAACTTGGCTCTCTCACTCTCTCTGTCTTTTCAGCTTCCTCTAAAAATCCAATTCTTGTATATATCAGTTTACTAAAACTTAACACAGGGTTTCATTCTATATGAATGAATGATCTGTACGTCTTGCCTTACCATTTTGGATTCTGGACTATTCCGACTCTTACGATTACTAGTACTCTACTACCTACAATTGTGCTGTTGACGTGCCTCATAAAAAAGATATTTCTGCAGATATTAGACAGATAGATAGAGAGAAGCAAGTCTAAGTTCCAACTTAAATGGCTTTTTCTTCTTCATTTCGTTTGAATATCCTTCTTTATTTGCTTGCCTTTAGCATATGTTGTGCTACTCAAACCCAAGGCGCTAGACTGCATCATCGTCATGATCCTCTGAGACAGCAAAAGGCAGACCAGGTGACTGAACTCCCCGGTCAGCCTCCAATGAGCTTCAAGCATTACGCGGGATATGTTACCGTCAACCACACTCACGGAAGAGCACTCTTCTATTGGTTCTTTGAAGCCACCAACAACCCTCAAGATAAACCCCTCCTCCTTTGGCTTAACGGAGGTACGTCGGTCACTGCCACTCATGACTTCATTTCCACACCGCTCTTTCTTACTAGTTAACACACAATTCCTCGTTAAACAACTTTTGTAATTGTTCTTCAAATGTTCACTCACAAATTTCTCTTTTTTGGTAGAAAATTTTCACTCAAAAAGATGTTCGCATACATATATATTTCTCATGATCACCTAGTTTATTAGTTTTAAAGGTAAACCTTATTCGTTTCTTGCCATTTATCACTAAAAATACCCCCAAAGATAGTCTCACTACCAATTGTAAACAAAATATCCAATCTTTCATAAACATATATATACACACGATAAATTACAATATATGGTCATGCTAGCTAAAGAGAATATGACATTTTCATCTTTTTCTTGTGCATTCGATTGTCATCGATTCTCTCCCTGTCATCATTTTATTTTCGTATTTTCCATATTTAAATATACTAGTGAGCTTAATTATGTTTTTGTTTCTATGGATGGGTTCAATTAGAAGAAGACTTTCAAATTAAAAAATTCTTCTAAATCTCATCTGAACGTGATTAAACACATAAAATATAATAGAAGCGGAGTTCTTAGGATGGATATATTAGAAAATCAGGATACCATGCATGCACATGAAAAGAATAATATATGTACAAGCATGCGTGTAACTTCCATATCCTCATCGGATTATCGGAGGAGCTGTCAAACCCTACAATGATGGATTACATATATTCCTAATTCCTTGAATAATATATATTTTCAAGTTTCAACCCCAAGTGTGATTTCTGAATTTGGTTATGTCTGTCTTCTTTTACCTAATAGAGATGCCTTGATTGTTCATTTAAAAATATAAAATAAACAAAATTAAAGATACAAACAGAAGCTTAAAGATTACAAACCGAACTTTGCGTACAACAAATATTTGAAATACAAAACCCTAGAAACTAGGAGTATCAGAAAAGGATATGAGTTTGATGAAGATCACAACTCCTCAAATCTCGGCAAGCACGCTGGATCTTGACTTCGTCTAACACATATACCATATATCCCAGCCTAAAGCAATTGCCCATTTGGTTATGTTTAGCCTTCTAGATATGTCATATATGCGCTTTTTTTTCGTCGTCTGATATATTAATGAAAAATGAATAAACGCTCTGAAAATTCTAGCATGGACCGGGTAAATGAACAGCTGGATGTAGGTTTCGTCGCATACTATACGCTCCGGTCTATACACAACAACACTAAACTGTCTATCTAGTCTTCAGCAATTAGATTAATTTTAAAAAAAAAATTATGACGCGGATGCAGGGCCAGGATGTTCATCAATTGGATACGGTGCCACAGAGGAGTTAGGCCCTTTCTTCCCTCAAAATAGCACCGAACCCAAGCTCAAGTTCAACCCTTACACCTGGAACAATGGTAATTTAATTGCTCCCAACTTAACTGCAACTTTCGAATGAAAGACAATATTGCATTTAGATTTAGTAAAATTACAATAAATTGTTTTTGGAGTCTGAATGATTAACCATGCATGCGTATTGTTGCTTGTAATTCATTTCAGCTGCCAATCTATTGTTTTTGGAGTCTCCCGTTGGAGTCGGATTTTCTTACACCAATACTAGTCAAGATATCGAGGAGCTTGACGATAAAATTACAGGTATCTGACTAGTTAATGCGTCTGTCTATCAATTTTTCATTTTCTTATGAATCTGCAAGTTATGACATCCATTTTCTTTCTTAAAATGCCTGCCAGCTGAGGATTCATACAATTTTCTTATCAACTGGTTTAAACGGTTTCCACAGTACAAGTCCCATGACTTCTACATTTCTGGAGAGAGCTATGCAGGTACCTATACATATATATACAATAATAATATAATATATGTATGTGTCATCATGCATCTTTGATTAACTATATATCTTAGTCTTCTGTATGTGCATGTCCTTTTTACAGGGCATTATGCTCCACAGCTTTCTGAGCTCGTTTTTGACAAATCCAAGGAGAATCATATCAACCTCAAGGGATTCATGGTAGTTTTTCTCTAGCTACTTATTGCTCATCATATAAATAATTTATTTAATCGATTTTCTGTGTCCCAATAACAAACTAACTATGCGTATATACGATGATGCAGATTGGTAACGCAGCAATAGATGATGAATCAGACCAGAAGGGATTGATTGATTACGCTTGGGATCACGCGGTGATCTCTGATCGCTTGTACCATGATATTCAGAAGGAATGCGACTTCAGCCAAAACATATCAGAACAGTGTAACACGCTGCTGGAAGAGTACTATAATGTGTACAATATCATAGACATGTACAGCTTGTACACCCCTATGTGCCTCAGTAACACTAGCAGCAGCAGCAGCAGCAGGCAATCCCATACGATCCAAGGCACTCCCACTCTGTTTTCCAGAGCTGTAAGTAGTTCCCCACTAATTATAACGACTCATCATGTTATAGAGCAAATAAAGTTGAATAAAATATTTGTGGTGCGCAGGATGTACGGCACAAGAGACCTGCAGGATACGACCCTTGTACATCAGATTACAGTTATGTGTATTTGAACAGGCCTGACGTTCAAAAGGCACTTCATGCCAATGTCACCAAAATCTCCTATCCATGGTCTCACTGCAAGTACCACCTCTAACCTATTACTTATTAATTCACCAAATAAATTAACTAATGATGCAAGAACTAAGTAGTCGTATGCGTTTATATATATATATGAATGTGATTACTCATCAGGACAATGTATCGTCCAAATACAGCAATAACATCTTCTGGAATGCACCACCATCAATGCTTCCTGTAATTGGAAAGCTTGTAGCTGGGGGTCTCCGGGTTTGGATTTACAGGTACTTAAATAAATGATTCATCATTCATGAATTAATGGATAGCTAATTACCAAATCTTTTCAGTGGTTGAAGTTGTGCGATCATGACTACCTCATTAACTATATAGAACTGTTTTCTGACATGATATTGCAGCGGGGATACTGATGGGAGAATTCCGGTAACATCAACTAGGTACGCGTTGAGAAAGCTCGGGTTGAAGATAAATGAAGATTGGACTCCTTGGTACAACAAGAAGCAGGTACTCCCTCACTAGTCACTCCTCCCAGTATCCTCTTGGAATTTATCATGTTATGTTGGGGTGGTTTGGTTGATCATCCTGTTTTTAATCAATTAATTGGTTGTAATTTTGATATGATAGGTTGGCGGGTGGAGAGTTGTGTACGACGGGCTTATGTTTGTGACAATTAGAGGGGCAGGCCATGAAGTTCCGGTGTTTGCACCAAGGCAGTCGCTCCTCCTAGTTGAACACTTCTTGGCTAATCGGAAACTCCCTTCCAAACCTTTCTAACATTCCCCATCTTCTTCTTCTCGATGTCAATTAAGTAAATCAATTTTACGATTCTTTGGAATTTGTAAAGCTTCGTTAGTCTCTGGCATAAATTGTAATAGTCAGATTTCCAAGTCTTAATTGGTGGAATCTTTGCAACTTCGAAGCAGTTGCGCAAAACAAAAACAAAAATAGAGTAAATGCTTTTGGTGAACTTACACGGGTTTTGATTTCTGCAATCCCTGTGCACATATTTTTAGTGGATAACAAAAGAGAAAATAGCAACGCCTGATCGTGCATCCTTGGAAGTCCATCATAGAGGAAAACTAACCGCACAGATGTAAGATCACGCGTCGCTATTTTTTCTACAGTTAATTTTCGTTAAATTGCATCTCAGATCAGGCAGCCATCATAAACGAAAACTAACTGTAGATCATAATAAACTACCAACCATTTCCAACCATTACACAGAGAGAGAGAGAGAGAGAGAGTCACAAAACTTTGGCTACTAAATGAACTGAGACAACAACAATCAAAGCCTGTAGTGACTGAATTGTCGCTCTTTCTAGCAACAAAAACAGAACAAATACTAATGTAACAAGTTACAACAGACAGCTCAAAGGCTGATAAATAAACTCATTGGTTGCAACCACCAAAATTTGCACGAGGGAGGGAGGCTGCATTAACTTCCGCAGCTTTCCCTAAGTAAGGCTCACATTAAATACCGAAAAAACCTGGACCTGCACGTGAAAGAAGTTCCTGGCCTGCATCCTTACCCATGTTGATCATATCTTGAGAAGCATACGGGCCTTTCCTAGAAGTTTCAAGTACTGAAAATAGACACACGGAAAATATAATTAGTGGCAAAGATTAATTTCTTTTCTTTCCTTTTTAAGTTTACAGTGGAGAACTAGGAAATAAAACTGAATGAATGTTCCTTAGGCTATGTTTGGATGTGGCTTTCCAAGTCCCAAGGGATTGATGCTAAGTTATGAAGTAATGGATCATAAATTGTTATATAGAATCCTCCATGAGGATTAAAAAGGCATGTGAGAGGGACTTGTAGATGACACCTCCCAATTAGATATTAGCAAATCCCTCTCACATATCTATGTAATGCTCATAGTTTTTATTATCCCCTCTATGTTGCATTTTGTGGTCCATTCCTTAATTACTTGGCATCAATCCCTTGGAACTTGGACAACCTCATCCAAACATAGCCTTAGAGTCTGAGCATGAGCATACCACGGGTTCCATCAGGGGAAGCCACCAACCCTTTGAATATGCAATTACCATCCTCATCTTTGCTAGCATATCCAGCAATAGGAGTTCGACAAGACCCATCCAGGGTCAGAAGGAACGACCTCTCGCATGCAACTGCTAGTCTTGTTTCCTCATGATTCAATAAAGCTATGTAATGAGCCTGCAAGGAAAAGACCAACCAAAAATTAAAATAATATTTTGGAGAAGCAAAAGCAGAGCTTAGCAGTTAGCGGGCAACAACTTCTATATAAATATTACACAAGGTTTTTGTACTAACCCAGAAATAATGTGTGTGTGTGTGTGTGTGTGTGTGTGTGTGTGTGTCAATCACCTTAGGAAAGTTCAGAAGTATTCACATTCACAAGTCCAGATGGATCTAAAGATACAATTTTTTGCATAAATTTTACTGATGCATGATTTTCTAGCCACTAGCTCACGCTAAAATAGCTTAGAATTGTTTCCCCTTAGCTATTGTAGAACACTCCTGCCAAATACCCAAGTGTGTGTTCATGGGGCCAATTCAATGATATCAACTACTGCAAAAGTATAACATCATTCAATATGTTAGCTTGAGAATGGAAATGTAAAGATTTAAACACACCATTTTATCGTCATTGGTTCGGCAGGCAATTCCAATCGCCCCCTGAGCAACTGCTGGAAGCATTTCATCTAGTGAAAGAATTGAAGTTACATTTTCTGTCATATCTAATCGTTTGAGTCCAGCTAATGCTAATAAGGTTGCTTCGACCACCTTTTCATTAAGCTTTTTCAACCGTGTCTGGACGTTACCCCGAAAATTCTCCTGCACCTGCAAGATGAAATTAAGCACAACGTGAATAACAAGCAACAGAACAATGTCAGAAATCTAAGAAATGGCATGCAATAGTGGCAGGGAGAGAGTTACAAACACACTGGGATAGAGAGTTATAAAAAGGAAACAAGAAAAGAGTCATGCTTCAATCATATTCAGGAAGGGGCAGGCGCATCGCCCTATTAATTATTCCTAACAAGCCACAATCAAAAGGCATGCATGTCATGGATCTGAACATCTAGTGCCACTTCAAATCCGTCCTAAACATTTTCTCATAAAGACAATTGGCTAGGAAGGAACTAAAGTCACGATCATTTAGCTTTTTCATTCAGATAAACGAACATCTACAAGTGATCTGCAACCCAACCCTACTTCACGCCAACACATACACAACCCATTCTAGAACAAGATTTTTCCACCGGGATACCATTAGAATGAAGTAAATGGACCAACGGATATCCATTCCATGGCCCAGGCAAAATACAAACCCCATGACTTTCGAAATCTAACACATAGCTAGAAACAGTTGGCACCCTCCAGACTCCATTAAATGATCCCAAAAACCAATGCAAACTTTAAATTCAAATGAACTAGCATACAATCTCCAAGATATCGAACAAGCAAAAGTCAGATATACACGTGACACCAAAGAATATGGTAGCTTACATTGAGTGATGGAAACCTATGGAGTATCTGTGACTTTCTTCTAAGTGAAGCAGTACCAACAGTGCTTCCAGCTGGCAGATCTGCAAGAGAAGATGAAGTTAAGGATATAAATGCATCTCGGACATCCTCCCGTGGAAGGTTGCAAGGCAGAACTGTCTGCTCGGGTAAGTAGGTAGGCACGTCTTTCATTGAGTGGACAGCAATGTCAATATCACCATTGATGAGTGCCTCATCTATTTCCTTGGTGAACAAACCCTTCCCGCCAATGTCTGCAAGGGGCTGACTCAGTATTTTATCACCTGTAGTTTTTATGATAACAATCTGAATTGCGCCCTCTTCAGCTAGCTCGGGGTGCGATGCCATGAGTTTCTCTCTTGTCTCGTAAGCCTGAGCAAGTGCTAATGGGCTATCCTATATCCAGAAAGAGTATCAATAACTCACCAAAAAAAGACATAAAATACAAGATTTTGAAAAGAAACCCATCATTGTAATTCATCTAGGAATTCATAGATAATAGAGATAATTGGAGTAATGAGCTAAAATCAGATTACAATTTCAAATAGGTGGAAACCCAAAAGTTAAAAATGAGGGGAAAACATGAAAAGAGTACCTTCCTCGGGTGCCAATTCTGATTAGGGCAACTTTGGACTTCTGGATCTGCTGCTCAACAGCGACGGAGGCCCTTGGGATCCCAATTAGACTGTGTTTTCTGATGGAGTTGGGAAAAGATCGAGTCTTGAGGGAGGGCATGGAGGAGCGGAGGACTGAGACGGAGCCAACTCCTGCTGCGAAGTTGATTGAAGAGCATGAAGGAAGCGCCTGCTTGGTCAAAAGAGACGAGGAGCAGGAAGAAGAAGAAGAAGAACAAAGGGCCTCCATTGCACTTGCAGAGAGAGATAGAGAGGGAGGGAGAGGAAGAAGTAGGAGATGGCGATTGGGAGTGTGGGAGTATGAAGGGATTGTCTGAGGATGGATGTTGGATAGGATAATTTGGGATTGCAGTACAGGGTATGAAAGGGTGCCTCCTCCAATACGCTTCTTCTTATCGTCCGGTTCCTTATCAACTTCACATGTTTGATCTCAGCTAAATCCAACTACTTGCCTTGCCACGTTGGCTTTATTTTGTCACTTTTTGTGGAACAGATCCTCTCCGGATCCTACGGACCTCCTACCATCACTCACCTCCCACTCGAATTCCCACTACATATTTCCTCGACCTTCAACCCTTCGCATTTTCTCCATCTTCTTCTTTCTTTTTCGATTCGTCGATCGTCGTCGAAGAAGAAGGCAACGATGTTGAGGAGAAAGAGAAAAGGTGAGAAAGTTGAAGAGGAAGAGTGATCTTGAGATCCAGATGGTTTGAATCTGGAGAGGATCCTGTTCTACTATGGGAATTGGAACCCGTCCCTGGCCCTGCTTTTACACAAACCAAATTTGGATACTTTTTTTCTCTTTTGTCTTCCAATTTTGAATCTAACTTTATGCATAAATGTGGCCATGCTGCCATAGTTATGAGAATCTAGCTTCGCTAACGTTGGCCTAAGTCTTAAACCTTCCCGATGGCTGTTTGCTTTCTCTATACTTAAAAATGCATTTTTTTTCCTATAATACAAGCTATTTGGAATATGCAACTTCTTTTTTCTAATTATGTGGGAAGTCGCAAATAATATTACTGAGATCTTTTTCAATGAAACTTTATACTCGGACTATTCTTCAACATGTTTTGGACTTCATTTATTGGGTTTGAATTTACTTTCTTAATTTGATTTTTCTTAAAAATACTAACTCCATATTAAAATGTAAAAAAAATTGATTGAGTCTTTCAAAATATGTGTTTACTCGAAGTGAAAAGGGTTTATCAAATTGTTTGAGCCCAAAATAATATTTTGGGCCAAGCTTAGAGTTGTTCTCAGCCCAGTAAAATTCATCCAGAATCTTGTTATGGGTTGTCCAACCAAGGTCGACTGAATTTGGTTCAAAGTCCTATAGGGGTTAGGATTGGCCGAAACCTTATCAGATTGGGTTGAGGAGTTCTAATCTGAGTACATTTTTAGTTCGGCCATGAAGGGGTTTGCTGCTATAAATAGAGAAGGAAGTGCAGCATTCAAAGTCCCCTTCAAATCGACTCAAAAATTGCCTTGCGCAAAGCTTCTCAACAACCCTAAGAATTTTTCGTCTCCCCATTTATTCCTGCCAACACAACTTCAGTTTGGATAGAAAACACTGTGAAGGCAACTGGTGACATCTTCAGTTTGGATAAATAGCACGGTCAACAAGGATTTCTGAGTCCTTGTTGGTAAAGGTCATCTCATTAGCCTTCTCGGCGAAGTGAGGTGTTACTAGGTTACTAGGCTTGGCACATTAAAAGCCGAGTTTTATTTTATGATTAGATATTCACAAGTACATTGTAGAGTTCGGTATTCCGATGATTGAATCACATTTACGATCAAGACATTTATCTTTTTCGAGTATTTGTGTCCATATAGCCTGGTAACAGTTCAACGTACTTATACTCTTACAAAATATAATTACCGAGATCAAACCCTGCGCTGGCGATTTGTGAACTTCGAAGAAACTAGCAGCCTTTTCTTCAGGTTTTAAAACTGAAGGCTGAGACATGTTTCTTCCTCGACTGCAGTCGCAAGATCGAGAAGTCAGCAGTGCGCCCAACGCCACATCGACATATTTTACTCCCCCACTGAACTCAATTGACGAGTAGGCACACTCCACACACAACCGAATGACGTAGTTAGCTTATTAGTTACTCGACTTGTGCGCCACATAGTCTTGGTAGTTTTTAAGGTCAACACAAAATGAATATAGTGCAAGCATAATTTTGATTAGATTGACTAGAGCAAATGTACTCTCTTATGAATATAAATTTGAATCTCAATTCCAGCCGTTTTTGTTAACTTAAAGCACACTATTACTCGTATAAGAAAAACATAATTGAATGTAACAAATATGTCATCAAGGTTGCTTGTACTACCATACTTCACTATCGCGTGAATTTCACAAACTTGACATTTTATATTGTTTAAAAATCTCACCTATTTTGTACATGAACAAGGGTACATGGCCACTCTAAAGTTAGAGTGACTTGGAATTTTCAACCATGAACTCGATTGCACCACTCTTGTTTTTCAATCAGGATTACTAAACAATATTTTATGTAATACGTACAGATAACTAAAACCGCATCCAACTAGATAGATTTAACATAAATATTACAAACTACTGCATTAGTAAATGTATGATACCACCTAGGCACCTAATTATTCCATGACCACAAAATACATGAGAAAACAAACTGCACTGCACAACACAAACAAGAAGGCCTTTAACTAATTCAATCGCGAAAGGTTAATTTCTGATTATGTCCCCGGAAAAAGGCCGTCCTCAAGCCTCTTGCAATCCACCAAGTAGGCAAACCCATAAGCCATGTTTTTCAAGGTCGCCTCGTGCAGCTCCCGATCCGACGTCGCAGTCGCGTCCGTGGAGAAAAACACTCTATACCCCCTTATGAACGCTTCACGCGCCGTCGTTTCGCAGCACAGGTTGGTCATGACGCCGGTTACGATAACCTCCTCCACCCCCTTCTCCTTCAGGTATTCCTCGAGGCCCGTGTTCCTGAACGCGCTGTACGTGTTCTTGTCGAACACGCGGTCCTCGTCGGGTCCCCTCCGGTCGAGCTCCGGCATGAGCTGCGATTCGGGAGTGCCGTCGTAGACGAGATCGCCGTTCCACCACTCGTCCAGCATGCCGTAGTCGGAGGGGGACTTGTGGGCGTGGCGCGTGAAGATGACGGGAATGGAAGCCCGTCGGCAGAGGCGGATGGTGGTGAGGAGGTTTTGAAGGATGGGTCGGGCCATGGCGGAGAAGTAGTTCTGCACGTCGATGACTAGAAGGGCCGCCGCTTTTGGGTTCGGGTTTCGTTTCCTGATCTCGTATTTTCTGTATGAGGAGGAGGAGGAGGAGGAGGAGGAGGAGGCGGAGGCCATAGCCAAACGATTCAGAACTGAGATTGACTGATTGAGCAGTTCAGGATGAGGATGATTGGGGAGAGTGTGTTGGGTGATTCATTATCAATTATCTCTATATGAAGGGAATGTAGATAAGAGAACTTTAACAAAAAGTTATCATATTTTAACAAAAAAAATTATATTTTTACATTAAAAAGTTAATTATGTATTATTTACTTTACCCTTTATTTTGTTATTATAGTTAAAACTCAAAGTTTTTAAACCATTTTCATTAGTTTTCCCTATATATTAAGGGAGAAGGAAAAATCGGTGATTAATAAGTTTATTATCTTTTAAAAGGATAATGTTACACTATGTTTATACGAGGGAAATAAACTTCAAATTCGGATAAAAATCAGAATTTATAAATTGACATGCACCAATTTTCTTGTTTGGATTCATAAACATATAAATTTAGAATTTCTGCGTAGAAAAAAAAAACATGGAATTTGTGTCCTCCAATTCCCAAGTTTAAGTTTCATGTAAATAAGTGTTATTTCCCAATTTTTATGATTGCGAGTTAAAAATAACAAATTATGTATTCAATTCCATTGCTATTTTAAGTTAATTAAACAAGAAAATTCACAAATTTAAAAAAATAAAATCTCTTCACTTCAATTTTCATCATTTTAAAGTTCCTTAATAATTTTAAATTTATTCTTCAAAATATAGTGTTAGGAAGATCAAATGATATGAAAATTGATAATTGAATTATTTTGATTAATGTGCTTATTTTTTTTAGACACATGTTATTTAGTTTATAAATTTAGCGTACAAATTTAGTCTACAAATTTAGTATACATAACATTACTCTTTTTAAAATGTTCTTATAAAAAACAATAACAACTAAGAGTTTGCTACCATTTTGTAAGAAATTAAAGGTTATGTTAAAGAGAGTTTACTGCTATTTTTTATTGTTGTATATTTATACGACATTTTTGACATTACCTTTAAATAGGCTCTTAGGCATCATAAGAATTGTCATCTTGACTTGATTTAGTTATGGTGTTTCATAATATAGGAATATACGACGTTTGAGAATTGCCACATGCAAGATGACCATTCTCAAACATTAGATAATTATTTCATTTTTTATTTTTGATTTTTATTTTTCACTTTTCTAAAACTGAAAATTTGGATAATAATTACCTCTAATTATATAAAAAAACTAATTAAAATTAAAAACGAACTTTTTATCAAACTGCTCATAATTATTTTGTGGTTGAATGTGACTAGTAGTCTCAGGCACGTTCCAAGTTACAACAATTTTTTTTTTATTACTTGTTTTATAATTATTAAAAGAAAAAAGAAGAAAGGTCAAGATCGTTCTGGAGGGTTCCTGAATCCTAACTAGTCAGTACCATTGATAACGTCATGTCATTTCCTGCGAATTATTCTGCATTAGGAAATTTAGACGTGAGGCTGAGAGTGATCAGAATACACAAGTTATTAGAAATCACAGTTTGAAATACATAAGAAATTAAGTAGATCCATCTTCAATAATAATGTCCTACTTGCTACCGCACCTGCACTCAGGGTGGGCCGTCGACCAGGCCATTCTTGCCGAGGAAGAGCGAGTCGTCATCATCCGCTTCGGCCATGACTGGGATGACACTTGCATGCAGGTAATTTTTCCATTTAATTAATTAATTAATTCGCTTTCTTTCTCCCTTTTTCTCTCTCTATTAATCAATACAATTGCTTTGTCCATATTTCATAGCCTTGATTTCCTTTTTTTATACAAGCCATGCTCCGGATGGAGGAGATTCGAATTTAATATCTCGGATGATAAGGTTAAATGCTCTTAATCAACCGAGACACGAGCCGTGACGAGGGTTGGATTCTTGTTTGTTTCGATATTGATTCACATGAATATTATTATCTCGTGTTCAACCGATTGCTGTTTTCTTTTCTTTGATTTGGAAAAAATAAAAGCAAACAGTTGCAGAACCAAATCCAAGATGCTCGGAAACCGGGTTCGATTTCGGGCCAATACGGGTTCAGTCAGTTGGCTTTCTCAAGTTTTAATCTTGACCGTTCGTTTCATCCAACGGTCAAAAATATTACTCGTAAAAGTCCATCGACTACACGTTGTATAAATTAGCGGGGGCGCGTACCATCTATTTTTCTTTCATAAAAATTTGCTGATTAATTTTTAGATCTTTCTGAGAGCGAGAGAAAAGCTTGGGAGAGAGTGAAGGGAAGAGGGTCGACGAAAAACGATGTCGTATCTGCTGCCGCACCTCCACTCAGGATGGGCCGTCGATCAGGCCATCCTCGCCGAGGAGGAGCGTCTTGTCCTCATCCGATTCGGCCACGATTGGGATGAGACCTGTATGCAGGTTCGAATTCCTTTTTTGGCAACTTTCGTTAACCCTAAATCCTCAGTTCTTTAGTTTCTTTTTTCCTTTCATGTTTCTTAATTTTGATTAAAAAAAATTGATTCGATTACATGCTAAAATCCTAATATTTAAGAGAGAGACGACATCAGGAATTCTGTTTAGCAACTAGGGATTGGTTTAGAGTAACCGCATTTACGCGCCCATTTAAATTAAACAGTTATGGTTATGGTAACCGTTTAGATAAATAAACGGTTATAACTGTTTATCATAAAATTTAAATGGTCGTTTATGGGTATTATCCGCGGTTATAAACGTGTAATCGTTTACCTATTTATTTTATATATGTAAAACTAACATAAATCATGTTCTCGATCTAATAATAATATTTAGCACCCAATAAATTAGCAAGGAATTCATCGGTCATTCTTTCAATAACATTGTTACATGAATGATGATTCTCATTATCAAGGAATTGGCCAAATTATTTTAAATTCTTTACGGGTAATCGTGAAATTGATAAAAATGTCTTCTAAACAATTTTTGTAACTTAATAATACTTAGCAAATATTATATTTACTTTCATTGGTAACATTTAAAAATATTGTCTGTAAATTATCATTTCAATAAAAAAATTATGATAATTTTTTATTTATTTTCAAGTTAATAAAAAACATGGAGACGGGTGAAAAAATGGTAATTGTAATAAAAAAAGATAAACGGGTTAAAAAGGATAAATGAGTAAATGAGTATTAAACGGTTACGGGTATGCGGTTATGGGTATGGTTAACCGTTTATAAACGGTTATGGGTGTGTGTATAACCGTTTAGACAATTATTCAACGGGTAAACAGTTATGCGGGTATGAGCATAAATGGTTATGGGTAAATAACCGCGGTTACTCGCTCACCATAATCGTTACCCATCCCGATTAGCAACTGAGTAGGTGTGGCTGTGGCTGACTTTTTCTAGGTTTTTATTTCATTTATGCATATAGTAAGTGTCCTTAAAAGTTTTGGTGTACATAAATCTGTTATATTTTGTGGTAGGGTAGTGTCTTATCCGCACACATTTTTACTTCACACACCTCTTCCAGTTCCGGCCTAGATCGAATGAATTGAAGAAGGTGAACCGCTAAAATGAAGTTGCTTTAAACTAATGTAGGATAATTTTACTAAGTAAGAAGCAGTTCTGAAATTTCACTAATCTCATATTTTGATATTCCAAACTGGCTCTCAAGCAAGCCAAATTATCAACTAGTTTCATGCTGAATTGTGATTGTCACTCCTAGAATCTAATTGTGCTAATTTTCTTTCTAAATAAATAAACTTTGGAGTGCACAATTAGAATTTTAGAGTGCCAATAATAGGTCCCATTTTGTAGATTTTTGATCTTGTAAACGGTTTTCTGTGTTCTATGGAATTCTCTCGGCTTTACAGGTCCTGTTCCGTGTTCACTGTGGTGATTAGCTTTTGTACATACGGATCATTTCTTTTTTGTATGTAAACCTTATAAGTTAGGTGGCTGCGTGCATGAAAAGTACTACAAAAGATAATGAACTTTTCACCGTGTATATGAAGCCTCTTATCCCTATTTCATTTTATCATTTCTTTCTGTAGATTGAATATATTTATTAATCTCGATTTGAATTCTGCTGATTGACTTGTGGTTTGTTATTGTGTTCGATTTGCTAGATGGATGAGGTGCTGGCTTCTGTTGCCGAGACAATAAAAAACTTTGCTGTGATTTACCTCGTGGACATCACGGAGGTTCCTGATTTCAACACAATGTATGAGCTCTACGATCCATCGACGGTCATGTTCTTTTTCAGAAACAAGCACATTATGATTGATCTTGGCACGGGGAACAACAACAAGATCAACTGGGCTCTCAAGGACAAGCAAGAGTTCATTGACATTGTTGAGACAGTGTACCGCGGGGCAAGGAAGGGACGCGGTCTGGTCATTGCTCCCAAGGATTACTCCACCAAGTACCGCTACTAAGCCCTGCAGACATTGTAATTCATTTCGGGGGAATATCTTGTAATTTGGAATTGGATGGGGTTGCATTGAACTTTATTAGATTGACTTGTGGACACAAAACAAGTTTTGTCTATGTAGATTGCAGACTGCATCTCAAATTGTTTCTAATGCGGCAGCATATATGCGTGGAATTGATTCTTATTAAGCAAAGATGTCTCGTGCGTGTGATTGCTTCTTATGGTTTGATTAAGCTTTGCTAACGAACAAATTTTAATCTATTTTTACGCCATGGCATCAAAGAAAGAAGAAAAAGAAAAGAAAAAACATATCTAAATCTTATCCTTCCTGTTGATTAAATGATGATTACACTTGTGAAGTTGGCCGGATGCGAGAAATTTAAAAAAGGCGAGCTTGAAAAAAATGAGAAAAAGCAAGCTGCCCCCATGCAGGATCGAACTACAGACCTTCAGTTTACAAGACTGACGCTCTACCACTGAGCTATAGGGGCCACTTGACAGCAATGTTACGAAATTTTGATATTTATTTTATTAAAGAATCATGGTCTATAGTATAAACTGCAGAGTAAAAGAGTTGGGAGAGAAGACAGGGCGGCGGGGCATTGTTGCATAGAGAAATTTTTTAGAGATTCGATCAGAAGAGAGAGAGAGATGGAGAAGGCGGTGAGCGTGAACGTGAGAGCGGAGATGGAGAAGCTGAGCCCTGAGCAGTTGAAGGCTGTCAAAGAACAAACCGATATGGAAGTCAATCTTCTCCAGGAGTCCCTCAACAACATCCGCACTGCCACCGCCCGCCTCGAGGTCGCCTCCTCCGCCCTCCACGACCTCTCCCTCCGCCCTCAGGGAAAGAAGATGCTCGTCCCCCCTTACGGCGTCGCTTTATGTCCCCGGCACCCTCCACGACGCCCACCAAGTCCTGGTCGACGTCGGCACCGGCTACTTCATCGAGAAAACCATGCCTCAGGCCAAAGATTACTGCGACCGTAAGATCAACTTGCTCAAATCTAATTTTGACCAACTTGTCGAGGTATGTTCACTTTTTCATTTTTTGTTATTATTATTATTAGAGATTAATTAACTTGTAATTTTGCAAAAAGTTACATTTCAATCTTGATTAATTTCCATTGATTTTGGTAGTGCTAGGGTTTGGGGATTTATTCTGTTACGCATTGTGAACTCATAGTAGCAACAGTTTAGCTTGTTTGGATGATTTGACTGTGTATACTTGGTTTCGCTTGTCATTTAGTTGAATAGCTCTTGTAGGAAGAAAGATGTTGCTTTTTGTGGATTCAGGAATGAATCGAATAAGGCGGAATATGAAAAGGGAAGTGATTTCCGCATTGTGCACACCTCCTGTTTGTTTCTAGCCTGATTATATCAATGATAATTAAGGAGAAACCGCATAAGGGATTGAATCCTTTGGTTGCAAAATTCTTCCACTTTGATTGCTAGTCTGCTGGAGATGATCCCTTGTTCTGCGTTTTGTATTGCTATTATCATCCATTTAAGAGAGAGAAATCATGAATTCAATGTGATGTGCAGGTTGCTTCTAAGAAGAAAAGCATCGCAGATGAAGCCGGGGCAGTTTTGCAAGCCAAAGTGAAGCAGTTGGCTGCTACAACGTCATAGGGGTGGATGATTTTTCTTATGGTGGTTATGATATTATTCAAAGATGATGTTGAAATGTACTAGATTTCGAGTGCGAACGAGCGTTTGTCTTCTTGCCCATTTAGATTTCTAGGATTGATTTCTCATCTGCCCATATGTGACTCTGAGAAACGCGAATGCTGTTGTGTAGCAGGACAGAACTGCTTGATAGTTGATTGTTTCAAATTTTATCAGATTTCAGCTGTTCGAGTTTAACTTGAAGGTCGGAAAGTGCTCTTGTTCATCGTCTTTTTGTTTCGAGGAAAGCCTATAATTTAAACATTCAGCTTGTTCAAAACAATACGGTGATTTGCAGCCTCATCGAGTGATTAACTCATTTAGGTATAAGTCAAAACTAGAGAAAAATTCTCTAAAAAAGTTCATAAGTTCGAAATTTGCAATGTGTTATGGCAAATTTTGTGTGATGAGTCAATAAATATCATTGATATTCATCGATTTTCTTAAATTTCTTTCTGATATAGGATGAAGTTTTTTATTTCATCCATTTTTTTCATATCAATCATTGGTTTTTTAGATATTTCAACAGTAATATTGACAATTTTGTGAATATTTTACACCCAAATATATCTAGGACTTTTCAACTAAAAAAGAAACTATAAGGACTTGAATGAAATTTGGCTCAAACGCGGGGACCAGAACGTAATTTTCGATCATGTTAGAGTTGAGGAGTGCGGACCGACTCGAACGAGGGCTTGATGAAAAGAAAACCCCCATATGAAAGAAGCTTCTCCTTGATCTTGAACTGGATTTGGTAAGCTCGCTCACCCACAACCACACACAGAACACCACAGTGACTGCTGTAGATCCCCTGCAAAAGCAAACAGATTAGTACGTATCAGTATCAATCATCATCAGGTAATCTTTCTCTATCACTGCTTTCATTTTTTTACTCGAAATAATCCTCCTTTTGGTTTTAAGATTATATGCGTTCCTTCTTTTCTTTTTTCTAATTTCATGGGTTTATTTAGATCTCAGTTCGATGCTTTTTGTTAAGTTGCGGGTCGTGATTTGTCGTTAAATTGAAATTAGAAATCAGAAAAATTGGAAAATTGGAATATTGATATTTGATTGATTTTGTGTGTTTAAAACTTACTTGGGACAAAAATCCAACTTGGATCTTCAGTCTTCCGTGATTCTGTCGGGCGAGGGATTCCAGTGAAAAATTCCACTTGCAATTTCGCAGAGGGCTCGAGTGGGAATAATTCAATGAGATTTGATTGTTTTGCTCAAAATCTGCACGTATGGTTTCATAGTTGATATTCATTAAGATGTTTAGCATATCAGCATCCTGGTAATTTCCTGGAAATCTGAACTGTTCTCGACCTTCTTGATCTTGTTTTGGGCAGGATATGTCCGTGTTGAAGCATATTTGGGGTGATGTCGAGAGACATTTTTTGGCTTCAACGTCATGTAGTGGTTTATCTTTTCCAGGTCTGAAGTAAACCCCATAAACTTTATTTATTTCTTCAATTAGAGCTTTTGGACAAAGATTGCTACAACCTCACCCTCTTAGGTCTCACTACAGTAAACCAGAGCCAAATATCGATTCGCTCTATTGTACCCAACATGGCACAACTCTTCAGTTACACGGCCTGCAGACAGTTGTCTCAGATGTTCCTGGCAGTAATCTTTTTTCATGGTTCTGAATACATTTTAGCAGTTGGCATTCACGGGAGATCAAACGTTACTCTTAAGTCTCTTCTGATCAGCAAACACTATCTTCTTGCCATGGTTTTTTCCTTGCTGGAATACTGTGTTGAAATTATTTTGTTCCCTGGTCTGAAGGAACACTGGTGGATCAGCAACTTAGGCTTTGCAATGGTCATAATAGGCGAAATCATACGGAAGATGGCAATAATTACGGCTGGTCAGTCCTTCACACATCTTATAAGGACTCATCCCTCAGAGCATCACCGATTGATTACGAATGGAATTTATAGAGTTGTTCGTCATCCTGGTTACTGTGGTTTCTTCATATGGTCGGTGGGTACTCAGATAATGCTCTGTAATCCCATATCAACAATTGCATTTGCACTTGTAGTTTGGCGCTTCTTTGCACAAAGGATTCCGTATGAAGAGTATTTCTTGAGGCAGTTTTTTGGGTCGCAGTATGAGGAATATGGCCGACGGATTCCTTCCGGGGTGCCTTTTGTAAAGTGAAGATCCTAATCCTTGGGATTCTGTAGGCATGGACGAGTTTCTCTTGCCACACTTGATCAAGAATAGCGTCGTCGTGTTGAACTGATAAATGGGTTACAAGGGAGACGGAATTGCTTCATTGCCCACTGCAGCTTAGTTGTTGCTTGGAGGCTTGGAGCGGCTCGTATTCGGTGAAACCATCGGTGAGAGAATGCATCCATCCCTGATTCCTGTTGTACCATTTATTTACAGAATGTATCAACCAATTTTAAGGCTTGAATTCAGAGGAAACGGAAAATTCCCGACTTTAGTAATTTGTCTGTTTTTAAGCTAATCAGGTTTTGGAGATTATTAGGGCCGGAATACATATAATCATAAGTCATTACATGACCGGAGGGTGGTGGGGGAGTGTGCTAAGCCTCATAATAGGCTAGCAATAACGTGATTTTAGTTGGCTTTTGACGAGAATCGAACTTAAAATCTCTCATTTACAAGTGAAAGAAGAATATTACTAGACTGTAATACTAAATCACGAATCCTCAGTTAAACAACAACAAAAAAAAAGGCACAATAAACCACTGTGGAGTGTGGGCCAACTCAAGGTACATTTTGGTAAGTTTAAAAGTTGAGCAGTCTCAACACACATGGCCCAATCCCAAACCCAAGCCCAAATTGAGAAACAAAAACAAAAAGCGACAGAGAACATAGAGAGAGAGAGAGAGAGAGAGATCAGCAACGTCTCCATTCCATTGTCCGCCAAAGGCTTCTTCTTTAGGTGAGGCACCGGACACCAAACCATCTCCTCCTCCTCCCTCCATCTTTTAATTTTATCTTTAATTATTAAATTCAAGTTTTGACGTCGACAGTGAATCTATATATTTAGTTGTTCGAAAAGGTTGATGACGGATTTCATCTGTTTTTTTGTATCTCGAGTTGCATTACTCTAATCGTAAGCATCTGTTCATGTTTGATTCAAACCAGTGATGCGTAATTGATTTTATAAACTAGGTGGTTATGCTGTAAATGTTAATCGGGTGGCGTATTTTTCTCTTCATTTCATGCAATTGTGGCAGTAATTTAATTAGTGTTCTTGATGCATGCTCCATTTCCCCTCCTCCTTTCTGTTCCTGAGCGATTTGGGGTGATTTACGAACCCAGGATGTTAAACAATTCAAATCTCCCTTCAATTAGGGTTGCTTGATAACTTGTTATTCAATTGCTTAAACATCTATCTGAAATAAATTTGCAACCTTTTTCTCCCTCTTCTTTGCGCGGAGAGTTCCCTTTTTTGTCTTCTTAATGTCAAAATATCAAAAAATAAATTGTTATTTGTATATAAAAGATTTACCAACGAGAACAGATTTTGCATCAGTCACTCAATTCACAATAGGTTTTGATTTTTTGGGGACTGCCAAACATCGCAATTTTGGCACTTCATCTCTGCCACTCTTGCAATTTATACACAGTGCCTGTTTCGGTAATAGGCACTTTATAAGTAATGTTATTTGAATATTTGGTAACCGTATAAAGTTCTGGTGCTCTCCCTCTCGCTAATGGTTTCTGTGTACGGCCTTTTACTTCCTTACTTACTCTCTCTTTTGAATAATCAGTTGAATTAAGTACGTCAAGGTGCAGTCTGGCAACCCTACCTGTACCTGATAATAAAATCTGTCTCAATACCCGAGTGGTGAGAATTTAGGGTGTTGCAATTAATGGCAAACCGGCCCCAGTCACTTTCATTAAATGTTCCATTCGGAGGTCCAAGCGTTTCAGCACCAAGCGTTACTGGAGCTCAAGCAAACAAAGATCGTAAAATGGCATCAGCAGAGCACTTGGTGCTTGACTTGAGTAATCCTGATCTTCGAGAAAACACGCTTCTTGAACTTTCAAAGGTAACTTTTGCAAGTTTTCATTGTCACTTCCTATATCAAGAGTGAAGCACCGAGTCTGAGGCTTGTAATTTTGGATGTAATTGACTAATATTTATGTCATTTCCTTATTTACTTGTCTCATTTTTGTAACTAACAAGAGGAAGAAAAGTGCATTTGTTTCCTGTAGTGAGAAACTGGATTCGGAAGCCTGACTGTTGCATCAGTATAAGTGGGCATTCAAAATTTTACCCTTTTCTTTATTACATAGGACCCATAAACTACTTGGAGCATCTTGATAGATACACTATATGTTTTCAACAAATACATGTTATATGTTTATGATCACAGGGAAGCTTGCGTAGGTTTCTTTTACACCAGATTTTATAGTTAATTATTTGTGCCTGTGACTTTCCTTTAGGTGGTTATGCAATGTATATTACAACACTGATATGCTTCTATATAAACTGTGTGCCTTTGGTTTCATTTTTTAGAACAAGGAATTATTTCAAGATTTGGCTCCTTTCGTGTGGAATTCTTTTGGTACTATTGCTGCACTCATCCAGGTACTTGTGTTTCTTCCTGTTTTTACTTCTAGACGAGAGAATTATTTCAAGATTTGGCTCCTGTATTGTGGAATTCTTTTGGTACTATTGCTGCACTTTTACAGGTATGTTGTTTAAGTGGGTAGCTTGGGATAGTACATGATGCATGGTTATCATACATTGTCCATCTCATCTTTTCAACTAAGTTCATTGAAGGAAGTTCCTTAACAGTTTTTCACTCATTGATGACTTTTTGCTACTTTGCTTTACCCATTTATCACAACTGTTAGATTAAATTTAGGAGTGTGATTTTCATATGTTAAGGATTTTTGACATTTCATTTTTTATGGATGCTTATTGGGACTATTCTCTGATGTCGGTTTCTTTTATATTTGCAGGAGATAGTTTCAATTTACCCTGTTCTATCACCACCAAATCTGACTCCGGCACAATCCAATCGAGTTTGCAATGCTCTTGCTCTTCTTCAGGTCACATGCTTTCCTGTTTCAAGTATCAATGTTATGTTATATTACTAGCTGTATGCTTATGTTAATTTTTTTTTTTTTTATACATATGATTTTGTAACTCATCCGTATGAGAAGCACATTCTGACTTCTCTTTTACGGTTTCCTTTTTAACTAACTTGGGGACTGAGTTTTAAGCTTGAGTATATGAATTCTGTTTAGAAGGCCCATGTTTACGATAAAAAAAAGGGCCCGCATTTATGTCAATCAAAATCGGAGAAGTCATGTTTATCTTTTGAAATTTGGATATGATGATTATGCTAATAGTTTTATTTTCTTTACCATGGATATTGCTTAGATTCAAAGATCAATTATGTTTTCCTCAGTAACTGATCTTCGATTCTTCTCACTTTAATTCTGATAATGTTGTGCTATGCTTTATATTTTCTTGCAGTGCGTAGCTTCCCACCCAGATACAAGAATGTTGTTCCTCAATGGTAATTTGTTCTTTTATTTTATATACTATGTAAAGTAAAGTTATCCTACCTGTTCAATATGATGCTATATAGCTTATATTGTTTTGCTTAAGAATGTTATTCCTCAGTAACTGTTATTTTCTCTACGACATCTTCATTATAATGTTTTCGCAAGCTAAAAAAATGGAAGTTTTTAATTCTTATGTTCTTGGAAGAATTGTTTTCCCCAAAGAAGTTCATGTCTACTTAGAAACATCAGTGTATTAAAAAGTTTGATTTATTCTCGTGAAGCACGGATATGAATATGCAGTGTATGACAGCGTAACACCGATTAAGATAATTTTAACCTAGATATAATATGGTACATATATCTTTGTTTAAAATTCGAAGTTCTGGTTGCAATCACTTTGATGCCTTGATTTCAGGTTGAACGTCACCTCCCTTGTTTTCTCTTATAGCCTTGTTATAAGTGTTTCTACCCTCTGAGCATGTTCTTCTTTACTTGGTATGCATACCTTACAAACAAAGGATATGGTTGCATGGGTGTTGGTTGCTTGACATGGTATTATGTACTTAATCACTGACCAAGCCCCATGATATAAAGGGAGGTGTCAAGTCCATCCACTGGCATTTCATTGTCTTTTTTTCCGGTTTATGTTAGAAATTAATGTCTTCCCCTTTTTCTTTGTTGCTTAAGTATGCATTTCATGATAAGTTGTTATGTTTGTCCCGCGCTTTTTTGTGTAACTCTCCTTGTGCGTATTGCTTATGAAAAGGAATATTTATGGCTGGCAGCTTAATGCAGATGCTAATAGTTGCATTAACTTATTCACCTCCAAGTTATTCTTCCTATTGAACTTTTCTATTGCAGCTCATATACCTTTATATCTGTATCCTTTTCTCAATACATCAAGCAAGGCAAGACCATTTGAGTACTTAAGGCTTACGAGTTTAGGAGTCATTGGTGCCCTGGTGAAGGTACTTTTTATGGGATAACTTCTCTAGACCATTTGATTTATTGATGTTATAAACTTGTGTACTCTGATGAATTTTTAATTAAGACAAGGCGCTGATTCCCTGTCATATTACTGTTACAACCACATTCTCCATCCCTCCTTATGACATTAATGGTTTTACATTGTTATTTTTGTTTCATTTCTTCCCTTTTGCCAGGTTGATGATACTGAAGTTATTAGTTTCCTTCTGTCAACAGAAATAATTCCACTGTGCCTTCGCACTATGGAATTGGGCAGTGAACTCTCAAAAACAGTTGAGTGTCCTGATTATTTGATTAAATTTCTGTTTGGAAGCTTTCTATCTGATATCTAATTTTTTGTAGAAGAACCATATTCTTAAAGGATGTCATTTTCCTTTTAGAAGGCCCCTCTCTCTGATGCACGGGGATGGTTTAAAAGTTCTTAGTTATCTGACGAAGGGTCTTGTTATGGCAGGTAGCCACATTTATAGTTCAGAAGATTTTGTTGGATGATATGGGCTTGGACTATATTTGTACTACAGCAGAGCGGTTTTTTGCTGTAGGTCGAGTTTTGGGGACCATGGTTGCAGCACTGGCTGATCAACCCTCATCACGCCTTTTGAAACACATCATTCGTTGCTATCTTCGATTGTCAGATAATCCAAGGTTTGATTATGCTATCTTTGATGCAATCATTTGATTATTTTTCACAGCTTTGGCTGTTTGTCTTTCATTGGGTTGGGTTCTTATTTTCATTAGTACTCTAAACTTGTTCTTTGGTATTTTATTGTGCAGGGCTTGTGATGCTTTAAGAAGTTGCCTTCCAGATGTGTTACGAGAGGCTAGCTTTAACAATTTCCTTTGTGTAAGTATATCTGCTTTTGGATTCGTGTTGTTCCTCATAAAATATTTTTTTGGATAGGGACAATAGTTCTGGGATACATAATCCTTAGCATGAGCTTTATTAGTAATAGTGTCCTGTTTGAGGATTTTGCCGCCCGCTTGCCCATGAATATATGGTTTCAAACTAGGTAGCCGGTTTTGTTAATTTCGCCTGTCTGTTTTGTTGATTGTATTATGCATACAGGAAGATCCAACTACTAGGAGGTGGCTGCAACAACTGCTGCAAAATGTTGGAGTGAGCCGGATTCCTGCACTGCAGGGTGGGGGAGGATTTGATCACGTGATGGTGAATTGAGTGGAGAAGTGTACTTTCCTTTGGAGACGGGCACCTGTTGTATCAATGGAGATGTTGAGAGCAGAGACGCTGTTTTATCAACTTGTAAATGCTCATCTTATTCTCTTGTTGCCAAATGACATAAACGTAATTAGATTTTCTTTCTATCTAAAGATAGATTTACCGGGGCGGAGGACTCAGCAGGTTTTATATACACACAGATATGGTTATAGTAGAGGTAACCTCTGTTTTGGAGTAATTATTTTGTTTTTAGGGTTGTGATGTAGCTTCTAGATTGCTATTGTTATAGTTAAATTACGAAATTGCAATACTTTTGCTGGGTGTGCGCACTCTGTATTGTGATGGTCTGTCATCCCCTCCCTCTCTTATGAGTAATGAGATGAGATGAGCCCACCAAACCAAAGCAGCGAGTGTTGTAATGCTCCAAAACCTTACTTTGATTGCCAATTTCTCTCTAAATTAACTAATAATTAACTAATAATTACATTGGTGGCACTAGCGTGTGCAACTTGTCTTGCAAAGCAAAGGTGCAGGTTAGGTGCGTGTCTTGTCCTGCGGCTTCGGAAATGTGTATGGAAGGTGGAAAGAAAACTTTTTAACAAGTCTCTTTTCATAATTGTTCTCAACACGGAAAAAGGCATCCATTCTTCACCTTTTTTTGGTATAAAAGAAGTGCACGATGACTTCCGTCGTTGTCAATTAACTTGTGACTTAGGACTTCGGAGAGGATAACCACTTCCACTCGACATCAATCCACCTTTAGCAAACATAATAACATGGCAGGCCTGGCCAGGCAAACCGAGCAAATAATTATATATGCTTCATTTTGGTTTCATGTATAATTATAATTAATTAAACTCCTACTTGACGTTTTGGACGAGTATTTTCAAAACCTCAGTTCCCTACCATTAAGAGAACTTCTTAGATCGCCGCTTTGAGTCTTAAGGCAATAGAAGACAGTGTATATAATTAAGCAACACGGCATGGAAAATCCGCAATAACAGGCTATACAAATTGGTCTCATAAATATGCAATCTTGGGTTTTAATATATAATTGTAAAACGTATGACATTACACCTGCGAGCCTGGACTTGATTAAGAAGATGATCGATGTTCATGAGAGTGTTATAAGTTATATATATATAATAATCTAACGAGAAGTTATTTGCTTTTCTGTATGAGCATTGACTCCCTCCCTTTCCCTTCCTTTTTTCGTATGAGTTTGTTTGTGTCCATGGAGATGGGGTGGACCATGATCGATCCATATATATACGCACATAGTGGGAAACAACCTTTTCAATTCTTTTTAGCTGCACCCAGCTCTCCTGTTGCACACGCACACCTCGATCGACCCATCTCCTAATAAATATTTAAATTAAAATTAAGAAAGAGGCAATATGGTTAGGGTAATTCCTTAATTTTAGATGAGTAGTAATGGAGAAAAGCTGCAATACAATTTCACAACACACACACACACACACATATATATATATAATGTGCATGCATGCATGTGTTTTTAGACCTACGACGTAACCACGTACGGGTGAGTATATATACGTATGTACCGAATCAAATTAGGAATGCACGCCAGAAATATTTTGTCATGATCATCTTCGTCTCATTAGATGACCTAATTTAATTAATTAGAGAGGAGCTTCTTGTACAAATTTGTAACCTGAACCTGCAAGCCATTCATTTCTTTCTACCACTTGACTCGACCTTTCCCTTCCCAGATGAAATTAATGATACGCTGCTGGGTATTGGAACAATTTACATTACACCCAAACCAAACCTACTTATTCGTATTTGGTTGGTACGTGTTCATGCATCGGATGGATCGATGGTATTAACATCCAACCATCTCACATCTTTTCTTATGGCAGAATTAAACAAACAAATTTGTTAATTAATTACGATATGCACCAAAATTCTATCTTTTCATATTAATTTCAGCTCAAGTTAGCAGCTGATATTGCATATATATATATATAACAACGTAGGTACTTACACATTTTATATTCACGCACATTATATATTATGTGTGCTTCGTAAATTATAAGTTCATTACAACCTATATCATATGATATCAAAAGCAAAGATAAAGTGTAATTTGGATTTGATCATTTTTTTTTTTTTGACAAAGAAAAAAACATTGGAGCTTTACGAATAATTTTGGGTTGAATCTTAACTTGGCAATGCAAGTGAAGTTCTGTATATGTAAATTTCACCAAGACAAGAAACTACACTACAGTTTTCACCAAGATAGCCCAAGGTTTGATGAAACCAAATTCTCATTACTCTTTTAATTACTTTATAGGTGAAATTAAATATATTAGAGCCACCAATATTTGACACAAACTATATATATATATATATATGCTGCGTCTAACTCCATTATTTTCCCATCATCAAAGTCCACAGCAAAAATGTGGCTGGACCACTTGACATGTATAATTCCTGTTAATTTAGAAGAATTAAGGATGCAGTTGGGTCGCTTTGAAAAAACAAATGTATATTATTGGCTACCAACATTATCATTTTATATTTTTAACTTTGAAGTTCCTACACAATCCTTATGGTAATTTTCGTTTCATACTCTCATTTGATTACCTCGATGAGAACCAGTTTGTTTTTAAATTTTACTTTTCAATGTAGTGATAAAGGGAAATTACATAAAAGAAATGATGGATAAAGAGTGGAGGAATAATAATGAGAGAAACATATAAAAAATGTACAAGAAATAATAAAAAAGAAGCTATTTTAAGTTATTTTCACTTTTAAAACTATTTTAAACACGTATAAGATTTTTCGTATTTTCTGATGATCTATCTCGCATCATCATTCTCCAACCCTCCTATACTTTCCTCCTTGCTAAACCATAGTTCTAGTGGAAATCTTAATTAGTTGAGTAAAATGTTTAAAATAAAGAAAAGAAAGACTTGAAGAAAGTGGATTGTGTGGCTAGTCAAGATCGAAGAGAGAGAGGGGAAGGGGGGGGGGGACAATAACGTGAGAATCTGTTTAATGATTCTAATCTTAATCTAATGTAATGGTAATGTTTGCCTGTCGAGTACCTAGTTGTTTCTCATTTTCAAATTTGGAAAGAAAATTTGTGTTTCTCTACATAAGTGTTGGCGTTCCTTAATCACATGTTTTCACTCTCATGTTAACATAAGCTCTCGTTGTTTCTTCGCCCTCCAATCCCTATTCCCCATCCGATTACTAATCTAGTTGGTTTGAAGGGGACTATTTACATCTTGAAAAACACACCCCCAAAACCCAAACATTTTTTTTTAAAATATTACTTTTGTCACATTGTTATATTATTTTTCTAATAGTGATGAATCCACACACACATTAACAAATCATACCTCTATTTGAATAATGATATAAATAATAGTATAATCATACCTCTATTTTATATTAATTTTTTTTATAAAAATAATAAGACAAAAAACAAATATTAACGTAGCTTAACTGTGATCGCACAAAACAGAAAGGTATGAAGAGGATATGAAAAGGGAATGGCAGACAATCCATCTACACTTTAAAGATGAAGCTAATCAATACATTAATAATAAAAACTCTTTACTCGTTCCAACAGCCAGATTGCCCTCAACTCACCAATGATCCCATCCATTCCATGACATTGACATTTTCTTTCTACTTTTCTTTTCTTTTTTTTCTTTTCTTTTTTTCTTTCCTTTTAAACAGCAATTCGCGCTCCGTTTGCAGACCTTAATTTGAACAAAAAGAACCCTCTATGGCAAACAATTTGTGGAATCTTCAGTTTTGGATTTCGTCGCCATTGTAGCAAATGAAAGGGCTAACACCGTCAATTCACCTCCAATTGCCCGAACCGTTAAAATCATGGTTTTTAAATTCCGTTGGTGCCAACCCCCGAAATTTAAACACCATAAAAATAAAATTTTAATACCATTTAAAATTCAAATTTTAAAAATTCCGAATTTTCTTTTATCAGGGATTCATGTGGAGCAGTGAAAAACGAGCCAAAAAGCTGCTTCCTCTCCAGTCTCCACACGCCTTTGCATTTCCCTCCGTTTCTCTTCTCACTTTCTCACAATCCAAACACATACTGTCAGCCTCACATTCAACAGTTTGCCCCCTCAAATTATTAGGGTTTTCCTGAAAGGAATCTATCTTCCTCCTCACATTCTCTCAAATTATTAGGCTTTTTGCCTTGAACTTTTGGCTGAGCTCTGAGTCTCTGACCACATTTTTAGGGTATTCGACGATTGCTCGGAGGGTTTCGGTCGAATTCCCAAGTGGGTTCACTTTTTCGGCGAGGTAAGTGGATCAGTTCGAGTTTGAGTAATTCTGTGTGTTTTAAACTTGAATTTGGTGGTTACTTTCATAGTAGATGAATGAAGTAAATAAAAGGGTAATCTGAGTTTCCTGTATGTTAAAATTTTGCTTCTTTGTGTTATAATTTGAAAGCTTGAATTCATTGAGTTGACTAAGTCAAGACGATTTGTTGCGACTCGACCATACTCTGTTATTTTATTCAATTTCTCAGCAACCAAACGGTGCATGGAAGAAAAGATCTGTTATTTCCTATAAGGCATTGCTCCAAGATTCAGTTATTTATTTACAAAGTGTTGAAAGATGAGATTGTATTAGGGTTCTTCAGATAAACTCTGCTTAGATTAATTTTCTGGAGATTTGGTACCAATATCAGTTTGAGATTCTTTGAGGATCGTACCAAACATCATTTGGCATTAGACATGTGATTGGTGGCTGATAAGAGAAAAGTAGTGTAGTCTGTATCTTGGATTATGGTCCCCGCCATTGAGATCGTTGGATAAGTCATCCCGTGGGACCTTGCTAAAGTTCGATATGCTTATTTTCTTTGTTGAAAAAGTAAGCCTTTTGATCTCAGTATTATTTGGTTTTCAATCTTGAAGGTTGCAGAAACTATATGGAGGAAATGTCGCAGAAAGCCAGGGCCCCACCTTCCTTCCAGTCAATCAAATCATTGCCCGGAGATTTTAGGTTCTCAGGTCTACCAGCTTCTGATCGATTTGGAAAATCCGATGATGGGAAATTGGGAAATAGCAATGTCATCTCCTCGAGTATTCCAGAAAATGGTGGTTTTGAGGGGGTTGAAGGGAGTAGCGGGCCTTTTGGCGACTTGGAACAGGTAGACGATTCACCATATGGCAGGAACACAATCTCCATCGAAGACAGGCCCTTAAGGGGTGATGAAGACTTGGATTATGTTGCTGCATCTGTGCCTTCAATATCTTCATCCCATAGGGAAAGTGGGTGGGGTGACACCAATCCTTATGCTGTGAAGAAGGTATTTAGTCATGCACTTGAAA